CCGGAGCTCTGGACCGTGCGCTCTGGCGGAAGGCACCGGTTGCACCGGAGCTCTGGACGGTGCGCTCAGACTGGAGACACCAGTCACACCAGAGCTTTGGGCCTTGCGCGTGGCGGGAGGTGTCAGTTACACCGGAGCTCTGGACCGTCCGCTCCGGCTGGAGGCTCCAGTTGCACCGGAGCTCTGGACCGGCCGGCGGACGAGAGCGGCGGCAGCGAATGGCCGGGCTTGACTGGCCAGTCAGGTCAATCAGTCTGCAGCCAGTCCGAGGGCGCCCACCATGCTGCGAGATCGAGTTCAGGTCCCGGCAATACGGCTGATGTGGAAAGATATGTACCTCTCTTTGTGGATAATGAAGCATGAAATTGGCAATGCATACAGCGAGATTGGCATAGGAATCGCCAGACAACGCTGTATGAAGTCATTTGTAGTGAGAGAATAAGATCGGAACCTGCCCTCAGTTTTTCACGACATGCCTCAATGCACACAACTGACAGGAAACTTACGAAAACAACGCAGTACGAAAGCTACATAACAGTTGCAGGCCATAACTTATCGTGTGCATGCCGTGAAACCCATTTGTACTTAAAACTATCATATACATGAAAATGAGTTGTAAAATAGTTGCAGTAAACAACATTATTTCAAATTTTAACGGACAATCTAAACCATATTTTACCTGCATAAAAATATCGGAAACGAATTTGATAGCCAGCCCGCAAAAAGGTTCCGGTCGCTTGTCATAAGATACTTTAAGCTGAAATTTTCAACCTGTTACACATTTGCTTCATCTTCCACGATATGCGCACCACCATTACGGGCACGCAGAGTTTGCCTTGACCCTACGTCTGGTGCGTTTATTCCCTCACTAGTCGCGTGTCTACCTTATCGGAGGGCAGATGGCTGTTCTGACGGCGCGTCCCAGCGCTCTATGACAACGTGTCTCTGTTGTCCCCGGCGGCACGTCCCGGCGCTCTATGACAACGTGTCTCTGTTGTCCCTGGCGGCACGTCCCGGCGCTCTATGACAACGTGTCTCTGTTGTCCCTGACGTCGCGTCCCGGCGCTCTATGACAACGTGTCTCTGTTGTCCCTGACGTCGCGTCCCGGCGCTCTATGACAACGTGTCTCTGTTGTCCCTGGCGGCACGTCCCGGCGCTCCATGACAACGTGTCTCTGTTGTCCCTGGCGGCACGTCCCGGTGCTCTATGACAACGTCTCTGTTGTCTCTGACGGCACGTCCCGGTGCTCTATGACAACGTGTCTCTGTTGTCCCTGGCGGCACGTCCCGGCGCTCTATGACAACGTGTCTCTGTTGTCCCTGGCGGCACGTCCCGGCGCTCTATGACAACGTGTCCCTGTTGTCTCTGACGACACGTCCCGCGCCACATGACAACATGTCTCTGTTGTCCCTGGCGGCACATATATGTCCCTCGTGGTGGCCCGTCTGTTCTCTGTGGCGGAGTTTCTGTGTCAGGCATGAAGGGACCCCTCTGCTTTCTGACGGCGTGTGCCTATTCATCCCAACTCTGTTCTCTCACACAGTTATTCTTTGTCTGACAGCACGTAACTCTACTCGATACAGGAAACAAAGGTCTTCAGCTCCCGTTTTGCGGCATTATGAGTTAGGAGCTCTGAATTTCAGTTATCGATCTTCATTTTACCGGGGGAAATAAGCGGTGGAGTCATCCCACTTCACATTTCACTCGTGGCCATAAATCCAGCTTGAAACGTTGAGTGCTGTCGATATAACCAATGCTTGCACTCCAAAGTTGCCTTATCAGTACGTTCTGGCATATTTAGGATTGATATCTTAGCATAAGAACTCATATACACATACTCAGTATCGTACGCTGTACCCACATCGTTACATTCTGCACTCATGTCACGCAACCGCGCATCCTGACGTCGGGCGTTTGTGTCGTCTGCCGACGCGCATTCCCGCTCTCTAACACCGCCTGCGTGCCGCTGCCTCAGGTGGTTACTCGATCGTCGGTGCCGCCGCGCTAGCCGGCTCCGTCACGCACACCATCTCTACCTCAGTAATCGTGTTCGAACTCACCGGTCAGATCACCCACATCCTCCCAGTCATGGTGAGAGCACGCTCGCGTTGTCCAGGTCTTGGTAAAAGCATGCCCACATCGTCCAAGTATTGGTGAGAGCACGTCCACATCATTCAGGCCTTGATGAGGGTACATCGACGTCATCTAAGCCCAGGTGAGAGCACACCGACATAATCTATGTTTTCGTTAGAGCACACCCACATGTCATAGGTCTTGATGATAGCTCGCCTACATCATCTAGATTTTAGTGAGAACACGCACATCCTGCCATTCATGGTAAGAAGGCGCTTTGGCATTGTCAGTCTTGGTGATGCTCCGCCTGAACATCACGCATACTATGGCAAAATGTACATATCTCGTCAGACCAGGTGAGGGCACACTCGTCAAATGAAGCGCATCTTGTTGATGTCAGATTATGCCCATTTTACCGCCAGTCATGATGACAGCACGCACAGCCCGCAGTACTGGTAAGCTAGTGCTACTTCAGACGTGCCTAGTGTAGCGGCGGTGCATACAATGACCGATGTTTTGCCGTCCATAGCGGAAACGCGGTGCACAACTGCACGAGCTTCTGTTTTGGCCGTCGCCTCGTTAGGTGGGTGGGTGCCACCCCGAAACGGCATGTCTGATGTCACAATAACAAAGCGATAAGAGATAGCGTCGTAGCCTTTGGCTTAGCCGGCGTGTTGCGTGTTGTTTTTCGCAAATAAATGGCCCCACGTCATGTTGAGCCGCTGAGCTACGACGTGGTCGCCGAAACTGTGCTTCTCAGGATCGCTCAGAGCAGACTCGAATGATTATTTTAATGATGAAGATCACCCAGCTGATCAGCCATCACCAGTGGTTTCGATGATCACTACTAATCTTACCGCTACCGCTACTGCTACTGCTACTGCTGACTGCTAATCTTACGATATACAGGCGACGTTGACAGGCCATTGATTTAAGTGTACCGAAACAGACTTATTTATTGGCTAGTGACCACCTATAACCTTTCAGGTCGTTCGTGACTGGCTAAAAACCTTGTGATGGTTGTCAGGGACGGAACAAGGTCACCAAGTCTGATAACTATGGATAAGCATTTATGGTCCTAGGCCCTAGACGATTATGCACTGAATGTTATCCAGAGTGTAATTTTGTGCATGGTTGTCAAAAAAGTACCAATTTGTAAGCGGGGGAGGCTGCATCATTTTTTTCGCCACTGAAATGTGTATGAGAGGAAAAGCACAAGTTGAGCTCAACTAGCGAGGCCGGAATAGCTGGATTCCCTTGACACTAAGCGTCTTACCTTATTTCGTTTCGCGGCTCTAGCTCAATTTGTACGAAATGACAAGATCCCCCTCCCCTCTCTCCCTCGGCAACGACGCGAGCGAAAATAGGTCCCGTCCGGCGAGGGCTATGGACTGGACTGCAAGTTTACAGAAGTGCACATCCGAGTTTACGGCTGACAGGGGCGTGCTGCTTCCGTGCACTCTGAGGAACCACTGAAAGGGAGTAATCTGGCCGATGTGGCTGCGGAATGCTGCACCCTCAACAGGCGCGTCCGTCTGATATTCCGTTCCAAGCTGGTGAGGCGCGCGTTGATATCTGCAGCCGGTATAATGAAGGATGAATACTGGAGCCTATAGCGTCATTGGAGCATGGGGAAGATAATCAGGGATGCGTTGCCCGGGTCTACTTCTTTGCTGTTCAGGTCTTTTTGCCTTGTCTTTATTGGTCGATGGCTCATACTTTCCTGACAAATCTGTCGTGAAACGGCACCGCGGCCGGCCAAAGTGACCCGGCACTCTATTGAACCGGACACGCGACCACGTGTTGCAGCTGCCGGCTCTTTAGGGTAGCTGACACATGACACCTGAGCCCCTCATGTCCTTGATTCAAACAAGGAAAGCCTTGAGCTCCTGGCTGTTCGGCATTGTGAGCTCAGAGTTCTTGTGATGGCTGTTATCGACCTGTCATATACGTGGAGATATTGGTGGAACCACGGTACCAGGCAATTATTGGATATGTTTCAATAGTCAACGTTTGATGCTGTGCTTGCAATCACTGGTGATTATAGCACAATCATAAGCATTTGTTGAACATGAACCACAGCTTGAGACGCCGAGTGTTGACAATGCAATCAATGTTTGTTTGATAGCGTCGTTAAACCAGTATTCCCTGGCTTCTTGGCGGTCTAAAATTGTCAGCATCAAAACTCGCACACCTGACCCTGGATCACTGATGACGCTGCAGGCGAGCTGACTCATGATACCTAATGTCGTCTCGTGTTCTAATGCGTTCTCGTCACGCGCCTGCCGTCCATGACCCCCCCCCCCCCCCTCTTGGGCCTATAGGGCACCAAATATCGTGGCAAAGGTCACCACAATTTCATTTTGGTCAACATAACCTTTATTTCCGGGACACATCGAAGCTCAGGGGCACCACAAACGCCGCCAATATTCAAGTTCAACTCAAACCTAGCAAATAATTAAACCACAAGCAACAAAGTTGCCTAAAATTGGTGGGCCATTCCGGCAGCAGATATTTTACCGATTAAAAAACAGGAATCTGAAAATAGAGGGACCGAGATTCAAGGACTTCTTTATGAGGTGGGGGGGGGGGGGGGGGCTGGGCCTATAAGTTCCAGTACATGCTGTCAGTTGACATATGGCACCGTACCTACATATCGGCCACCGACAACCGGAACACTGGACCCCCCGCCGTCCGCGTCTGGCGGGAACCGTCTGTGCTGGCGTCGCACTTCTGACGGACAGGTGTGGCTCTGCCTGCCGGGCCGACGCCGACGCCGACGCCCCGCTGCCACTCAGGGCGACAGAAGGCGGGCCCGCGCGCTGTTTTGAGAGCGGCGCTTGTGACGCGGAAGAGTCACTTGTTTCCGGCCGGGCGGGTAGGGATGCCGGCGCGCCTGATGTATTAGATGCCCGCGGCGACGGGACGGGCGCGGCCGGTGCGGTCGTGAGTGGCGCGCGCAGGACAGCCGATCGCCGACCGCGGCGGGTACCGCGGAGCAGGGCTCGGGACAGAGCCTGGTGGCTGACGGCTCGGGACAGAGCCCGGCGGGCTGATGGTTCGGGACAGCCCGGTGCTGCTCGACCCGCCGCCAGGCCAGCGGTCCGCTGGCGCGACAAACTGCACGGTTAGCGGATCGACCGGCCCGGCAGCGGTGGCTTCATCCCGTGCCTTTTAACAATTTTTTTTTTGGGGGGATGACCTTAAGCCGTGTTGATGGGACGAAGCGCACGTGCTGTCTGAATGAACAGCAGAGTGGAAGAGTGAATGTGCTATCTCACGTTCTTCCGCCTCATTCCTTTTTTAAGACTTCAGAAGATAACTGAGCTTCTTCCGGCCCATGGGGATGAAGGTCATTTCAAAGGGAACATTAATCATAATGTCCCACCTCAGTGGCCTTCCAGAGCATTTATCATTTTCATACAAGACAGCGGCTCACTAGAATCTGGTCCCCTTTCCGGGTTTCGTGACGGAATAAATGAGGTCGGCCATTTGCGCATATGACCCCACTTAATGTGAATAACGGGGTCCATAAAAATCAGGTAGTGCGGAGACGTGACACATAACGATTACAAATGAGGATGCATGAAACATATTTCGGCGTCAGTCTCTGCTGGACTGAGCTGCATTACGTTCATTTGCAGGTCATTTTTAGCAACGCTTTGCCCAGGCTCGATGATTGGCATCAGGCTTGTAGCTATGTGGAGACGTGGCTCCGCTCAATACGCGCCACACACTGCATGTCCTGTGGCACCCTTGCGTGAGGGGCAGCCCAGAAGTGGCTGTGCTGTGACCTGCGTGCGAGGAGCGGTTGCCGAGCGGTACAACCTAGCCCGCCGGGTTATGAGGGCAATAGCGGGCCGGTTATTACCGGTTATTACCGGCAGTGCTCGTTGTGGTCATATCTGAGGTCCTACGTCCGGGATGGACCGTTTCAGAGCTGTGTGCCCAAGGACAGCGAAGTGGCAGGCCTAATGCTCAGACCACCGGGTCGTGGACTGTACAGTGGACTGCTTTGTGGACAGCGCAGTGGACTGTGCTGTGGACCATGCGGTAGGCGGTGTGATTTACCGCGCGGCAGACTGTTTTTTTTTGTTGTTGCGTTGTTGACTAGTGGACTGCGCAGTGGACGATGCGTTGGCCCATGCGATGCACTGCGGTGGACTGTGCGGTGAGCTGTGCGGTGGACCGTACGGTGGAGTGTGCAGTAGACTGTGCAGTGAACGGTGCGGTGGACCATGCGATGGACCGTGCGGTGGACTGTGCGGTGGACCGTGCAGTAGACCGCGCTGCGGATCGTGCGGTGGACCATGCGGTGGACCGTGCGGTAGACTGTGCGGTGGCATGCGCGGTGGACTGTGGGGCGGGCTGTGCAGTAGACCATGCGGTGGACCGTGCAGTAGACCATGCGGTGGACCGTGCAGTAGACCGCGCTGTGGATTGTGCGGTGGACCGCGCGGTGGGCTGTGCAGTGAGTCGCACGGCTGGCTGTGGTGGTGCTCGGCCTGCTAGACCGCAGCGTCGAACAGAGTACGGCTCTCTCTGCCGGGGCACAGGGGCTGATTGGGTCCACGCGCTATTCAGCCACGTCCGCACCATGGACGGGAGCTCGGCATGATGACATTGTCCAGCGCGATGCTTGTATGCATGATTAATTAAACCGCCGCTGCGCATCTGGAGGCCGGCTGTTGTGTGCGTTCAGCATATAATTTGCCTATATATTTTGGTAATGCCTGTGGCATTTGGCTACTGCATGCATTTGTGCGTTGGAGCCAAATGGCTGGATTGCATGAAAACGTTCAAATCGGATACGCATTTCACTCCATAAAAGGCTAACCTTGCCTGGAAACAATTTTCTGAGAAACATCAACCATGGCTTCTAAAGAGCGCTAAATGATTCCCGAGTGGCAAACATCCAACATTGGTTTTAAGTTGCACAATGTTTCATAGGTCTAAATTAGTGCGAACTTTTTGGCGTTTTTGTGAACCCGTATATCAACCTGAAGCTGAGAACACCA